AGCTGTTTGTAGTAATCTCTGATGGTAGTTTCTATTCTGTGGGATGAGTGGTGATATCCCATTTATCGTTTTTTATTGCATCTATTTGATTCTTCTTTCTTTTCTTTTTTATTAATCTGGCTAGTGGTCTGTCTATTTTGTTGATCTTTTCAAAAAACCAGCCCCTGGATTTATTGATTTTTTGAAGGGTTTTTTGTGTCTCTTATCTCCTTCAGTTCTGCTCTGATCTTAGTTATTTCTTGTCTTCTGTTAGCTTTTGAGTTTTTTTGATCTTGCTCCTCTAGCTCTTTCAATTTTGACAATAGGGTGTCAATTTTAGATCTTTCCTCTCTTCTCTGGTGGGCATTTATGGCTATAAATTTCCCTCTCAACACTGCTTTAAAGGTGTCCAAGAGATTCTGGTAAGTTGTGTCTTCATTCTGGTTGGTTTCAAAGAACATCTTTATTTCTGCCTTCATTTCATTGTTTATCCAGTCAACACTCAGAAGAAAGTTGTTCAGTTTCCAAGTGGTTGTGCAGTTTTGAATGTGTTTCTTGATCCCAAGTTCTAGTCTGATTGTGCTGTGGTCTGATAGACTGTTTGTTATGATTTCTGTTCTTTTGCATTTGCTGAGGAGTGATTTGCTTCCAATGATGTGGTCAATTTTAGAGTAAGTGCAATGTGGTGCTGAGAAAAATGTATATTCTGTGGATTTGGGGTGGAACATTCTGTATATGTCTATTCGGTCTGCTTGGTCCAGCTCTGCATTCAAGTCCTGGATACCATTGTTAATTTTCTGTCTCGTTGATCTAATATTGATAGTGGAGTGTTGAAGTCTCCCACTATTATTATATGGGAGTCTGAATCTCATTTTAGGTCATTAAGAACTTGCTTTATGTATCTGGGTGCTCCTGTGTTGGGGGCATATATATTTAGGATAGTTAGCTCTTCCTGTTGGATTGATCCTTTTACCATTATGCAGTGTCCTTCTTTGTCTCTTTTGATCTTTGTTGGTTTGAAGTCCATTTTATCAGAGACTAGGATTGCAACCTCTGCTTTTTTTGTTCTCCATTTGCTTGGTAAATCTTCTTCCACCCCTTTATTTTGAGTCTATGTGTGTCTTTGTATGTGAGATGGGTTTCCTGAATACAGCACACCAATGGGCTCTGACTTTTTAGCCAGTTTGCCAGTCTGTGTCTTTTGATTGGGGCATTTAGGCCATTTAGATTCAATGTTAATATTGTTATGTGTGGATTTGATCCTGCCATTTTGTTACTGGCTGGTTTTCTTTCCCATTAGTTGACTCATTTTCTTCATTGCATTTTTGGTCTTTGCCAACTGGTTTGCTTTTGCAGTGACTGGTATTTGTTTCTTTCTATGCTTAGTGTTTCTTTCAGGAGCTCTTGTAGGTCAGGTCTGGTGGTGACAAAATCTCTCAATAATTGCTTGTCCGTAAAGGATTTTATTTCTCCTTCACTTATGAAGCTTAGCTTGGCTGGAGATGAGATTCTGGGTTGAAAGTTCTTTTCTTTAAGGATGTTGAATATTGGCCCCCACTCTCTTCTGGCTTGTAGGATTTCTGCCAAGAGATCCGCTGTGAGTGTGATGGGGTTTCCCTCTGTGGGTGACCTGACCTTTCTCTCTGGCTGCCCTTAACATTTTTTCCTTCATTTCCACCCTGGTGAATCTGACGATTATGTGTCTTGGGGTTGCTCTTCTTGAGGAATATCTTTGTGGAGTTCTCTGTATTTCTCGAATTTGAAATTTGGACTGCCTTGCTAGGCTTGGGAAGTTCTCCTGGATAATATCCTGGAGCATGTTTTCCAGCTTGGATTCATTCTCCCTATCATATTCAGGTACACCGATCAAAGCATAGATTTGGTCTTTTCACATAATCCCATATTTCTTGGAGGTTTTGTTCATTTCTTTTCACTCTTTTTTCTCTTGTCTTGCCTTCTCTTTTTATTTCATTGAGTTGATCTTCAATCTCTGATATCCTTTCTTCTGCTTGTTTGATTCAGCTATTAAAACTTGTGTTTGCTTCACATAGTTCTCGTGCTGTGTTTTTCAACTCCGTTAAGTTGTTTATGTTCTTCTCTAAGCTGGTTATTCTAGTTAGCATTTCGTCTAACCTTTTTTCAAGGTTTTTGGTTTCTTTGCATTGAGTTAGAATGTGTTCCTTTAGCTCAGAAAAGTTTGTTATTATCCACCTTCTGAAGCCTGTTTCTGTTAATTCGTCGCACTCCTCAGACAAGTTGTGATCCTGTTCTTGAGGAGCTGTGATCCCTTGAAGGAGAGGAGGTGTTCTGGTCTTTGATGTTTTCATATTTTTGCTCTGTTTTTTTCCCCATCTTTGTGGATTTACTTGGCAGGGAGCTGCTTGATGAGGTCGCTTGTCTGCCTGTGGAGGCACTACTGGTTTCTAGGGACTCCTTCAGGTTACTAGGGAAGCTTCCTGCGTCTTTTTTGTTTATGCTGGGAGATTAGGCCCACCTTTTCCACTGACCTGTAGGTGCTCCTGGGTTGTCAAGAATGCCATCCCGTTGCTACGTAGGCTTCCTCTGTTTTTTGTTAAAACATGTAGCCCAGTCCCACCCTTCTAGTGGTGGGTCGTGCCCTTCCTCCACTGGGCTGGATCATTCAGGGTTCATCTCAGGCTGTGGCACTGGCTGTGCAACCCACTAGAGTCAGAGCTTCAGCCCTCTGGGGTTTGTGGGGGAGGGTAGGGACCCGCCCAGCCACACCTGGCCATCTCCACCTTTCAGCTTCCTCTCTCTCTGGTCATGGGTTAGGGGCCCGCCCAGTTGCTCCCACTTACAGCTCCCTCTCTCTCTGGTTAGGGGGAGGGGCAATAGCTCAGTCCTCAGGCTCTTATTCAACTCTGCGCTTATAATTCCCAGTGGTTGACTGGCAAAGATCCCCTGTTCTGTGTATTGCTGAGGATTTGGGGGAAGCGCTATATCTGGACTGGAGCACTAGAGGGGGAGTCTCGGACTCACTGGTCAGATGCACTTTCTGAGTGAAGTAGCACCCCTCCCTGCCTCGGTCTGCCCTGAGTGGGCTTTGCTTGCCATCGGACCAGACCTGTTGAAATGCACCTGGTACCTTGGTTGGAGCTAGGAGATCTCTGGATTTCTGTGTCTCTCGCTGGGTGTTGTGTCCTGGAGTTGTGTCTTGGATCTTGGATCTATCATGTTTAAGAACTTTAACCAATCAAGAATGACTTCTAAGAATGAACTGTGTGCTTCCCTCTAGAGGTGAGCTCCTCAGAGGCGGGGGTTATGTTTTAATCATCCACTCATCCCAGAACTTCCCCCCTATCAGGGGCGTGGTGTTAAGTGTTGCTTTTCCTGAGTGAATGAAGGAATGTATACATGCATGTATGACAATGCAGGACAGGCACTTTAGGAGCATAAGAAATAGACATGATTACCCTGCAAGAGTTTCTAATATGCCATGATGAGCACAAAGACCCCAGATGATTTAGAAACAATCTGAGACAGGGTATCAGAGGTCCTTGTCATGAAGACTCTACTGACATGGGGCTCAGCGATGTATGACTCATAGCATTTTGGAACACAGGCCCTGAGACATCGCTCACCCAAACAAGTCAAGGGACTTGCCCTAGGCCTTGATGGTCTGGTTGGAAATCTGAGATTGCAACCCCAAAACTAGAGGACATGAAAACATTTATTGAGCCTCTACTAGCTGCTGGGCACTGTACTAAGCTTGTATCCATTCTACAAAACCATATTTAGAGATGGTTGTTATTATCCCCATTTATAGGTAAGTAGAGAAAAGATTCTAGAGGCCAAGAAGCTTGCCTAAGATTCTATAACTCAAATGAGTCTGAGACAGAATTTGAACCCATGCTGATGAACTTCTACTTGAAGTGAACCTTAGCTAGACTCCAATTCAGCTTTCAAATCATAAAAGCCTAGGATCAAACCCTGGTCCTCCCAAAAACTCTTTGACTTCTGTCATCTCAGACCTTCTCATCATCTTTCTGAGCCTCCTTTTCCTCATTTGTAAGATGGGAAATATAATGTCTATGAAGAATAAATAGTATAATGTACACAAAGTACTCTGTACAATAAATAATGGAGATGTATGTCATTTTTATTAATAATGGGGTAGAGAGGAAGGTACATCAGTGCAAAGGCCCTGAGGCAAACACATACACGAGCAAGGTCATGGTAAAGTTCAGTGGAAAGAACGGTCTGGCAGGAGCCAGGAGTTGGACATTGTTATGTCCTTCAAGTAGGATGGACCACTGAGGGAGTGGGAAATGAGTCTAAGAGGTAGGGCAGAGCCAGCACATTCCAGATGCCATGGGATGTCACAGTCCTAATGCTAGCTGGGCTCACAGCCAGTGGTCATCAAAGTGCCCAGTGCTTCAGGCTCTGGCCAAGTCCTCAGACAGGATGGAGGCTCACCTCCTGAACTTCTCTCCTCTGTGGCCCTGCAAGTTGGCCCCAAAAGAGGACCCACGGTGGAACTTCTCACGGGTGTGTCCTCTCCAGCCCAAATCTTTACATCTTGAGGGAAGGAGACTGCCATGTGCTGACAGCACTGTGCTGGGTGCTTTAACACATATCTCATAATCATCTTATATGTGAGGACCACTGTCCATACTTTTTGATGAGGTAATTGAAGGATCAGAGAAGTTCATATAGGAACCTCAGAGGATGAGGTATCAGGAGAGGTAGCATATAGAAACACCCAAACTAATTTAGAATAATGATTGAACCCAGTTCCCCAGCAAGTCCCATCCCTGTGGATTTCCAAGTTGGAACCAGAAATGTGATTATGCCCTCACTGACTGACCACTTAATGATACTTTCTTTATGCTCAGGAAATACGCTCTTCTGCCCCATAAAATCTCTGTGGCAGGGCCAGGATTATCTTTCCTGCTGCACAGATGGTATACTGTGTGTCAGCAAGAGGCGAAGGGAAAATGCCCCTGAACACAGACAGTAGAGCAGAACTTAAGCCCAAACCTCTCTGCTCTGCCACTTACCGCAGTCTCGGCATGGGAATCGCCACCTTTTCAACCATGGAGTTCAGCCGATAATAATCCAAAAACGTTCTTGCCACGTTCCGCCCCAGCTTCATATCTGCAGGTGTGTGGGTTAAGGAGCAACTTTGAAAAGAGATTGAGACAGAGTGAAAAGAGGGCTACTTATAAAAATAGTAACAGTAATAAAAACAGTTACACCACTCATAATCCTAAGCTTTTTGTATGCATTCTCTATTTCGATCCTTGAAAAACCTTAAGTGGTAATTACTATGATTATCCTCATTTTATAGATAAGAAAACTGAGGTGCACAGAAGTGAAGTCATTTGCCTAAGGTCACAAAACTGGGAAGAGGAGGAGCCAGGATATGAGTCTAGGGAGTCTTACCCCAAAGCCTGTGCTCATAGCTTTTAGAGTATGCTGTAGCCTTTGGAAATCACTGGGCTGCCCCATCTGGCCTCAGGTTGATCAGGATGGAGCCAGATAAGCAAAAACCCCAAGGGCTGGAGACCAGGACCTCCTTGACCCTTAGGGCTCAGTCATCCACTTTAGTAAACCTCAGGCACAATGATAAAACCCTGTGACCCTAAATAGTGTCCCCACTGCACCTTGAAATTCCACCAATAATTAATCTTTCTGGTAAAGACTTGTGGCTGGTAAAGTACAGATTTTGGGGTAAGGGCCAATTCCATTAACACCTTAATGTGAATTAGTACAACAGTCATCTATTCAACAACAGAATATCTTCTCTGTGCATCTCAGGGCTTCATATGTGCTCTTTCCTCTGCTGAAGTACCTCCGGACCCCATCCTGCCTTTTCCTTGGCTAGTTTACACCCCTCACTTCTCTAATGAGGTGATATTTCTTTATTAGAGCCCTCCAGGATATTCTTGTCCTCTCATCCCAGAACTGTGATTGGTGCCCTTGCCCCACACTCTCATGAGTCCCGAACTGGCTTCATTCAAAGCACTTATCACTTATCTCACAGTATGGGAATTATGTGTTTACTCAGCTTAATCCTTAGCCATTCCTTCTCCCTCTTCACTTAGCTCTGAACATCCACGCTGTCTCTAACCTTTCTTCAAGACACCTCCCATCTCTTGAATGTTTTCACTTCTTTCCACCCGCCTAGAGTAGGCCAGTATCATCTTTCTCCTAGATTGCTGTCATCCTGTCCTAACTGGCTTCCCTGCCCCAGAATTGCCCCGCTCTGGTCCATTTTCTACAGTGCAGCAAGGGGGATTCTGCAATGCAGCTCTGTGTCCCTCAGCTGAGTAAAACTCGTCAGTGGCTCTGAGTTGCCTTCAAAGTCCAAATCTCTGAGCATGATTTACAGTGCTGTTCATAGTCAGGTCCTTGATTATTTTCTCTTACCTCCACCTACTCCCCTTGCCCTTCACATTCCAGAAACACTGAACTTCTGCCTACAGGCCTGTGCCCTACATGCCATCTTTCTAGACCACTCTTCCTCCCTTCACATGCTTTCCAGGACCCACTCCTTCTGAGCCTCCAGAACTCAATTCAGTTGTCACTCTACTGGATAAGTCTTCTTTGGCTGCCCTTGCTGGGATAGGGGTCTCTCCTAGGTCTTCCCATAACCTCTTCTTCCTGGCCTTTACCAACCAGAACACTAATCATATTGTATTTTACCTGTCTCTTCTTTCCAGTAGCCCCTTCCAGCCTGCAAGCTCTGTGAGATAGAGGTCATATCTGTCTTATTCATCACCTAAACACTCACATACTCATCTGACAATAAGTATGAAATATATATTTGTTGAATTAATAAATACTAACAGCTGGCTGGGCACGGTGGCTCACGCCTATAATCCCAGCAATTTGGGAGGCCGAGGCAGGTGGATCACCGGAGATAAGAAGTTTGAGACCAGCCTGACCAACATAGTGAAACACCATCTCTACTTAAAATACAAAATTAGCCGGGCGTGGTGGTGCATGCCTGTAGTCCCAGCTACTCAGGAGGCTGAGGCAGGAGAATCGCTTGAATCTGGGAGGCAGAGGTTGCAGTGAGCCAAGATTGCACCATTGCACTCCAGCCTAGGCAACAAGAGCAAAACTGACTCCAAAAAGAATAAAAATAAATAAATAAATTATAGCTAATACTTATATAATGTTTAATATGTGCTGGGCAAGCTTTTTTCTTTTTACTGTAAGTTCTGGAGTACATGTGCAGAATGTTCATGTTTGTTACTTAGGTATACACATGCCGTGGTGGTTTGCTGCACCCATCAACCCATCATCTACATTAGGTATTTCTCCTAATGCTATCCCCTCGAGCCTCTCACCTTCCCACAAGCCCCAGTGTGTGATGTTCTCCTCCCTGTGTCCATGTTTTCTCACACATAGTCCAACCCCACTAATGAATTAGAACATGTGGCATTTGGTTTTCTGTTCGTGTGTTGGTTTGCTGAGAATAATGGCTTCCAGCTTCATCCATGTCCCTGCAAAGGACATGAACTCATCCTTCTTTATGGCTGCATAGTATTTCATTGTGTATAGGTGCCATATTTTCTTTATCCAGTCCTTCATTAATGGACATTTGGGTTGGTTCCAATTCTTTGCTATTGTGAATAGTGCTGCAATAAACATACATGTGCATGTGCTTTTATAGTGTGGTTTTGATTTGTATTTCTCTAATGAACAGTGATGATATGTTTGTTGGCTGCATAAATGTCTTCTTTGGAGAATTGTCTGTTCATATCCTTTGGCCAATTTTTGATGGGGTTGTTTGTTTGTTTCTTGTGCATTTGTTCAAGTTCCTCGTAGATTCTGAATATTAGCCCTTTGTCAGATGAATAGATTGCAAAAAGTTTCTCCCATTCTGTAAGCTGGCTGTTTACTCTGATGATAGTTTCTTCTGCTGTGCAGAAGCTCTTTAGTTTAATTAAATCCCATTTGTCAATTTTGGCTTTTGTTGCCATTGCTTTTGGTGTTTTAGTCATGAAGTCTTTGGTGCTGGCAATCTTTTAGTACCTTATGTATATTTACTTATTCAATTCTCACAATAACTCAATCAAATAGGTGTATTAGTTCCACTGTTTAGAGAAGATAAGTGATTTCCCCAAAGATTGGGCTCCTAATGAAGAGCTGGGATTGAAAATGAGTACCCTGACTGCATGTGTTTGTCTGCCTTCCCAAACTACCTCTCCAGCACCTGACCCATTCCATATTCACTTCTGTGTCTCTCTTTCCTAATATGTGGTTCAGCATCCTCCACCTACTGAGAAACAAGACTCACAACCCTGACTCATGAGCAGGTGATGGGGGCATGCAGAGTAATATGTAGAGAAGGAGGAACCTGAGATTTCTTTGAGAGGATCAGTGGAGAAAGACCATTCTCAGCTGGGCTATAAAGGCAGGGCAAGTGACGGGGCATTTCGGGGAGAAGACACAGAGTGAGCAACAGTGCAGAGAAGATTTACCATCCATCCATCCATCCATTAATCTATTCATCCATTCATTCAACAAGCATATTTGGAAGGCTGTAGTGTGCCAGGGCCTGTGTGAGGGGAATGTTTGGTGGCAGGGGTCTTCGTAGGTCACAGCAGAAAGGACGAAGTAGAGTGGGAAGTTGCTTGCATTTGCAGCATTGTTGGGCAGTTGCTCCAGGCCTTTCTTCAGAGCTGTCTGGGGCTGGGCCAGGTCTTTGGGGCCATTACTCCCTCCAGAACCATGGAGATGGACAAATGTTTGAGAAATAGGCAAGTGAGTTCTCAGTACCTTCTTCAAAAAGTTCCTAAGAGGCAGAGGTTGCAGGGGGCTGAGACCATGCCATTGCACCCAGCCTGGGCAACAAGAGTGAAACTCCATCTCAAAAAAAAAAAAAGATCCCCAGGCTGGGGTTGGACATGGCCTAGGACATGAAACCTAACATTTACAGAGCCTCTACTATGTATCAGGCACTGCACTGGGTGCTTTGCCTATAAGAGCATTTTAATTTTCAAAACAATCCAGTAATGAATGCTATTTTATCTCTTGTTTGCTATGAGAGGTTAAGGAATTTGCTCAAGGCCATGTAACTGGTAATGTCACTGTCAGGACTCAAACCCAGGCAGGTTTGACTCCAGAACCATGAGTTATCCACTATCCTGGCCCATTTCCTGATTTGAAGGCACCTTTTCTGTCAATGCCTGAGTCATCTCAGGCCTGTGCCTGGTAGGAGAAGGGAAAACACCAGACAAGTTGTTTATGACAGTTAAATGTACTGCAGGCTTGCTGGGCTCAATCTGCCACCTGCTTTCTTCCTCTGGACGTGACCGACTTTCTCTGTCCTCTTCTTTAAAAAGTTCACAAGCTGGCATTGGGCATGACCTCTCTGAGCAGCAGACTCTAGTGGCAGTCTCACCCAGCTTTCACCCAGCCAGTCTCCAGTTGGCTGGAGGAAACCAAATCGTGGTTGTGTGTGCCAGCAAGAGCTACAGGGCACAGAGGGAATCAGAGCTTCCTGTGAATTGAGCTAAAAGGTTGTAGCAAACGTTTTGGAGGCCGATGTATTTAATCCAAATCCTGGCTCTGCCACATGCTGTGTATTTTCCAAAGATGCCTGTGACAATATCTCCAATCTCACGTGTTATTGTATTACATGACCTTGCCACTCCTTCCACTGAGAGGTATACCCTTTCCTTGAATTTAATGGGTTTGTGACTTGTTTTTAACCAAGAGAATGGCAGAAGTGAGAGAAGTGAAATAGTGCAACTTCTGAAGCGAGGCCAGAAAAGGTGAAGTAACTTGTACTTGCTGGCTGAAATTCTCAAGCTGGAGTCCTGAGCCTCCATGTGAGCAGTCTGACTGCCCGGAGACTCTGGGACCCTGAGATTACAGATAGAGAAGAGAGATTCCTGGCCAGCCTACAGCTCCTCCAGCCCTCTACTGTGCCATCTCCAGCCCTCTACTGTTCCATCTCCAGCCCTCTACTGT